TTTAAGCCCTCATCTGGTTGGTGGTTTGGAACATATTTTATTTTTCCATATATCGCCCCACCACACAACAATAGGGAACCATGATGAACGTGCAGTGCTTGTGTGATGAGGGTGCAGTGCTTGTGTGCGCGCGGGTACATGAACGTTATTATCCCATCCCACCCCACGCCACCCCACCCCACACCCCCCCAGCCCACCCCAAAACCCTAAAAGGCTATTGTGTCGCAGATGAGGGGAACATGGTGTCGCAACTGAGGGAAAATCAGGGGCGTTTTGGTGTCACATCTGAGGGAGATTTGGTGTCACAACTGAGGGGCTTACTGGGATATAGTGGAATGATATATATATATAATATATACATATACAACATACCACCTATAAATAAATAGATCCAATAACAAACCAGGTTTTATTTGGATAATATTAATGGATTAAGACGATCACAGACATATTAAATATATTACATCATACCCGGCAATCTAACATAGCTCACATAGCTATGGAAAATCGTATGTTTGTAAATGGTGTTCCTATTGTTTTCATTGTGGTTTTCCAAAGCAACGTACGTTGGGACGGACGATCTGTGCATGCCACCCCAAATTTATGGCCATTGAACATGGGGAGAATATGGGGATTAGATATATGGGGATATAATGGTTTTGAATATAATGGTTTTGATTGGATATATATAAAGACATATATATATATAATGGTTTTGAATATTAGATACGGGGATGAATCAAAACCATTCAAAACCATTCAAAACCTATTTAATATCTAATATTTGATGGGGTTTTTCACATCATCCACATGATAGACCGTAGGAATTCAGGGTTCCAAATTTTGAGACAGCCCGACATGGGCATGGATCTTCACCCCCTGCCGGTAGCATGGTTTTCACATCACTTTTTGATGACTTATTGCGACTGAGAATGGCTGACCTCAGCGGAAATGGTGAAGTAGCTTTGGCGAAGCATTGACATGGCCTTGACTTAGGATTTATTTGAATTTATGCCTCGGGAATCTATGCGGCAATTCAACAAAAATCACAGGGTTGCGTTGAGGTGTTGTCAGCACTTTAAGGCTTCTACCCTGACCGCTTCAACCTGGCATGGGATTGTTTGATCAACTCTGGGGTAGTACGGTCGGTAATCTAAGTGACATACCCCGCCATACAGGGCATCGCCAGCGCTTTCGGGTCCCTCCTGGTGGACAAGACGCGCTTTGTGCTGGAGGCAGGCGTTTTTCCCAATGTGCCAGGCATGGTTAAAGGTGTCTGATTTCTGGTGGTCATGGGGACACATTGGGGACCTAGGCGACCTTGGACTTGTTGATAAGGTTGCAAGATACTTGGAAAGACTCCACTCCCAAAGCACCACAGACGGTCTTGTCTTGTCAAAGAAGTCCAAAGTTCCCAAGCCACACCAATTGGGTTCTGGATCTTCAACCTCTTGAACAAGATCGGACCTAGAAACAGCGAATTCGAAATTCGAAGGATGCTTTTGATGATCAAACATGGCTTGCTGGAAAAACCCTATTTATAATGAAATTGTCCCACTGGTACTCAGGGATTTCCATGGATTTCCCATCATCCCCTGTATAAGGCAAAATCTATAAATCATTATATACATTAAATTTAAAAATCATTAGATGGTTTGTTCCCATTCAATTGCCCATTTTGTTCCTTAATTTTCCCAGCTAGCCAGGCTTGGCCTTAGCCAGCAGTGGAGCAGGTTTCTCATCTCCAACGAACGTCGGATGGGTAGAAACTCAGCCTGGATAGTTTTTTGGTTATAACTTAGCTAACTTGAAGAGCAATGAAACCAATGTTTCTAGAGGCCCCCTAGACGTGAGGTACGACAGCCCATTTTCCAGTATGTTGGGAAGGTACGCTGTTATGGGTACGGGGTACGCTGTTATGGGTACGTGCTAGTGGTACAAGGTACGCTGTTTTGGGTACGGGGTACGCTGTGATGGGTACATGCTAATGGTACAAGGTACGCTGTTTTGGGTACGGGGTACGCTGTTATGGGTACGGGGTGCGCCGATGCAGAGGCATGCTAGTGGTACAAGGAATGCTGTTATGGGTGTGGGGTACGGCGTGGAAGGTATACGGGGTGCGTTGCTGCAGGGGCATGCCAATGGTACAAGGTATGCTGTGCCATGTTCTGGGTACATTTGAAGTACGGCATTCTCAGTGGAGCATTGGATTTTTTTCACTGTCAGCTTGATCGCAATCAACATGCCGACTTCCCTGTCTGAAGGTTGCTCATGAAACAGGCGCATTTGCAATCGCTATTTCAACCTTTGCAATCACAAATGCAGTTCGCAATCACAATTCCAATTCTACAAAATTTTCAGGTCGTCGAACATTTACCGTCCTGTGATGATTGTGTTGATTCAATCCGAAACTGTGTTTTGCATGACTGAACGATTCGGGTAACGATTCGGCTTTTAAATTGGGAACCTTGATTGAATTATGAGTTCCGGTGGGTTTGGACTCAGGGACTGGGAAGTCTATAAGCTTGAGAAGTTAATTTACAATTATAATTTACAAACGCTGAATCGAATTTTGCCCTTGGTTGCGTGAGATCCATGCAGCATGTGATGTGCTGTTTTTTTTCGCTAACTTGCCTGTGCTGCAAGAGAATTTCAAACTTTCACGGGATCTTGAAGCCAGCAACTTATAGAGTGACCGGTCCTAGAGATAACGACCGATATAGCGACCAATCTTGGCACTAGTGACCGATATAGCGACTGATCTTGGCACGAGCGACTGATATAGCGACCGATCTTGGCACTAGCGACCGATATAGCGACCGATCTTGGGATTAGCGACCGATATAGCGACCGATCTTGGCATTAGCGACCGATATAGCGACCGATCTTGGCACTAGTGACCGATATAGCGACCGATCTTGGCACTAGCGACCGATATAGCGACCGATGTTGCTGGTAGCGACCGATCCAGCGACCGATCTGGGACTGATGTTTGGGTCGGGCAGTCAGTTGAATAATGAAACCATGTTGGACATTTAACTCTATAGTAACAGTAGAACATCAAATAACCTAACCAATGTACAGCTGCTATTTCATAAAGATCAGCCGCTAGGATTGGTACAACATTTTTGGTACATGGGCACGGTACATGGTACATGGGTACGGTACATGGACACAGTTGTTGCATTGGCACACGGTGGTACAGCACATTGGAACGAGCTAGGGTGCACCTAAACTTTGCCATTGGGACAGTGCATAATTTATAGCAGCAAACAAGCCTGTAGCAGCCTGCTGTTTGTTGGCCCCAAAATTCTTCAAAGTCGCTAAATACTAAATACCCCACACTCCTGAGGATCCTACGCCTTAAACTCCTGAGCATCCCTAAATCGTACACGCTGTGCACTGCACACTGTAAACTTTAAGTTTAAACAGTTAAACATTGCAAACGGAAATGTAAACCCTAAATTCCTTAAACCTCAAACCCTGAACCCTTTGGCTTCGAAAAAACACATCATGAGTTTAGGGTTAAGGGCTCGAAAAATCACATGATGAGTTTGGGGCTTAGGGTTCGAAAAAAACACATACTGAATTTAAAGGTTTAGGGTTCAGAAAAAACACACGATGAACTTAGGGTTTAGGGTTCGGAAAAGCACCTGAAGAGGATATGTTATAGGGTTCGGAACAAGCACACGATGAATTTAGGGTTTAGGGTTCAGAAAAGCACTCAAGGAGTTTAGGGTACAGGGTTCGGACAAAGCACATGATCAATTTAGCTTTGGGCTTAAGGCTCGGAAAAAGCATGTGATGAGTTTTCCTGAGCACCGTAGGCCTCAAACATAAACCTTAAACTCTGAGCATCCAATACCCTAGACTCCTGACCACTCTTAACTCTAAATTCTAAATTTGAAACTATAAATTCCAAACTAAACTCTAGACTCTGGGCTCTAAAGTCTAACTCTCTAAACTAAACCTGCTTTCAACTCTTGAGAACCCTCAAAACCCCAAACTCCTGAGCATCCATGAGCATCCTAAACTCCAAAGGTCCTAAACCTAAACCCTAAACTCTGAAATTTACTAAACCTTAAACTCCTGATTCCTGACCATCCTAAACCCTCAACTCCCGAGCACCTCAAACCTTAAACTCCGTGCCTGAACAAATACCTATCTACCTTGCATACCGCACCCATGTATACCTTGCACACCGTACCCAGACAAACATGCGTACCCTGTGCACTGGGCCCACTTACCTGGTTGTACTTCGAATGGTGCACCCATGTACCCTACATACCGCACCCATGTACCCTACGTACCGTACCCATGTACCCTACGTACCGTACCGGCGTACCATTTTTACCGTACCCAGCCAAAGGGTGAAAGCGTACCCAAACACTATCCACATATGACCACCTCTAGAGCATTACTCTCCAAGTTAGCTAAGTTATAACTGGAGAATAACCTTAAGCAGCAAAATATTATATGTTTTTTTGAATGTTTTTTTTTGATTATGAGAAATGAATAATATGTTCTGAAGAAGATGATTCCGAGCAGTTTCTGATGTTTCTGAGGATTCACACGCACCATATGGTGATGAATTAAAAGTTACAATCATCATATTCAAACCTTCAACAACATCTTTTTTCAGTTTCACATAATTTCCCACATAAATCCCTGCTATTTGAAAGGGCTAAAGAGAAGACGAGGGTGAACGTATGGCCTCCTCAAGGTGCGCCTTTGATGGCCCGTGCCGCAGCCTTGTCTGCACGGAGCCTCGACGGTCGCTTGTGTTTGGCCAAGAAAAATGACCAGAGGCTTAGCAAAAACCATGAAATTTCGACCTGTCACCATGATATACATAGATATTATATATATACATATACATATATTATATACATATATATATATATATACACATTCATTCCATTATATTTCTATATGCTTATGCAGGAGGCAAAGATGGATTTATGATGATTATCAGAAGGTCAGGGAACACGTCATATCCTATGTCGAAGGCCTTGGCCTTGCACAGCCAGGAGCCCTGGAAGCCCGGAGTGTCTGAACGATTTTTGGATCCCTTGAAACCGATTTGAACCAACAACAATGGGGAATCGAATGCTTTAGACTACTTTCGTTAAGGTTTGACCAATAAAAAAATCATAAAAGATGGCCATCCATCCAATCAAAACAAGGATTTCATCATGAAGAATAGGGGATATATGTGATTGTTAATATGTTGCTTCATAATTGGCCATCGGCCATCGCTGTTTCTAGGTTACCCTTCGGTCGAATTCAGATAGCACCCACGTGGCTGAAGCATTCAGCCGACTCATTTGGGCATGTCTGAAGCTGGGGTACACATTTGGGCAACAAAAAAATATGTAAAATGATGATCAGCAAGCAAACTCAACAGGAGGTACCCAGTTTTTGGCCCTAAACAATTGGACATTTAGAAAGGCACTTTTTACCCTGCATCACTCTGGAACAAGCGCTATGTGTGCCCCTCCATCAGCGCTATGAGAGCCAGCAATGTGAAACTTTCATCTGGCCCTGTGAGATTTGGAGGAAGATCAAGGGCGGCAAATTGAGGTTGACGGACCTCACAGAACGGCTCCTCACCGAAAGATCAATGGTGAATGGGTCGAAAAATTTGGCCGTTGCCAAATGTTGCCACTGAATCATGCTGGGAATCCACGACGGTTATGGCCGTGTGAGCATGTCCTGAGTCTTGAATAGTAAACATATATACATATACATATACACATATATACATATATATATATATATATACATCATATACATATACATGCACACACACACACATATGTATATATATATTTACACATATAATTAACAGCGTGGAATATAGGTTGTCCCCCCAACGTTGGGCGTACGTGATCACCATGGTCAAAGATCTGCAGGTGCGTAGGTGTTGACCGTGTTGTTACATTGTGCTTCAGCTACCGTAAGTCACATTGGTCCGTTGCTACCCATATATAGCCAGTATAGCCATTATGTAATTTATAAATGATGTAACAATATATATATATATATATATATATTACCTCAGTTACTATACCAATATTGTCAGTTATAAAATGGCTCGTCATTGCCACTTGACAATCCAAGCAGGAGACTGATATCGGTTATAACGGTCGGAGGACTCAGTCTTTTTCGTTCGGCCAGTCTTCTATGGGCACCCAGTGGCCCAGTAAACCTGTGTTAAACGGGTGGTTAATGGATGTCAATGGATGTTACCCTCTGGTAAATAAACATAGACCCTGAAATTCACCAATTCTTAATGGAAACTAGTCTTCCAACCCCTATCTGCCAGGGTCTATGTTAATTTACCAGAGGCTAATGGGTGGTTAATGGGCGGTTACTGTAAGTTGCTTCACTTTTTTAAACTGCGGATCTTTAACGAAGGAAGAATTGACAAAATTGATATACTGCTGAAGATGAACGGGGCATCCGAGGTTGTAGCTGTGCAAATGTGGGTGTCTCACCAGAGAAAAAAAAACAATCCTACACAAATGCATTGGGCTTTAGCCAGAAAAACGAACAAACTCGAGGATAAAAAATCAGGAACATTGCAATGAAAGCAACGAATAAACAAGAACAATGCATGTGACATGACTCACATGACGAACAAGAGAGAGAGAGAGAAGGTATGTTTTGTCACAAACCAACATGTGCTTCGGGTGCTGAGGGACCTTTAACAGAATATGTAGTCTCTTGGGTATCCCAAATCGATCGACCCCAGTTTGGTGATCTCTCAGTTAAAATCTGACCGCAACAATCTGGCGTTGTCCAAACATAGGTTAGGAAACGTTAGGAAATCTAGGTGTCACAGAAATCTCAATCCAATCATCATCATATGATCATCACGATCATCATTCTCCATGATAGTTTGATGATTTCATGGCCAAGTTCTGGTGATTTTAAGTTGGGCCATTGAGAAAAAATGGGATGTGCTACCAGGGAGAGGACTGGTGGAGCTCTGGAACGAGGCGGGTGGGACTATGGGGATACCTCCATGTCAGGAAACCATAAAATGTTGTGAAGCATTTATGAATCTGAAATACTGGTTAGGTAGAAGTAGACATTCGAAATTCAATTGATATCATTTAAGGATTCATTTGGTGTGTACTCCCCCAATAGAAATGATGTACTGTAAGTAAAGCAATGATAAACGAGCCATATGGATTGATGGTTTATACAAAGTGGGGCCCCCTAGATAGCTAAGTTGGTTTATAACTCCAATAACTATAACTCCAATAACTCCAAAGTTGGTTTATGGTACCTATAACTATAGTTAATGGGGTTTATAAACAATCTTATACAGTAACTGGGGGGCCCCACATTGTACCACCAATTCATCGTGATTTTGGGGATGGTGATAACCATAGAAGGAAACCTTTCAACCAACTGTCGTATAATGACATAGGTCACGGTCAAGGCTATTCTGAATGGCTGACATGGGTCCTTTATACCATCATATACCATGGTTGTCTTATATATACCCTCTGGCTACTTAACATAGCCATGGTATAGATGGCCCATTTATAGATAGTTTACCTATTAAACATGATGATTTTCCATGGCTATGTTAAATAACCAGATGGTAGATTCTTAGGGGCAGCCAACTATGCATGATATGGATTAGCCTGAAAATAGGGTAAATAACTACTTAGATGGGCCATGGAGTTGGTTAAGTAGTTAGTAAATTGATTATAATTGGGATATAAGTAGTTTACAACCCACTTACTAATTAGTTAGCTAATCCCACAGCCCATCTAACTACCCCAAATGTTTATGGTTGATCACGATTTTCCCCGCAGAATTTTTTTTTTGAAAATATGGGGAGATTCTCCATGTTAAAAGACACAGAGCCAAATCATGGAACCTACAAAATCATGCTATAATTTAATGGTGATTTAATGATGATTTAATGGTGATTTAATGGTGATTCAATGGTGATTATGTCAGTCATTATTCGTTTTTGCAGGGATTCGATATCTGCTTTTCTGGGATATCGGCCATGAAATTGGCGGAAATTGGCGTTCGCAGAGGTGGGCCAAGTACTTCGGGCTGCCCTCGTGCTGGAGGCATGGTGCAGAGTGAGACGATGTGAATGGGGACCTCATATGGCGTTTCGGGATTGATCAAAACCTATTAATTACACCAATTAGGGGGGAACATCTATATAGTTATTGTGGTGTTCACGAAGGTATCAGTGGTACCAGCCTGGCCCATAACCATTTTTGTTGGGTTTCGTGAATAGAAACATACTCTGCTTCTAATCACTCACAGGCTGATGTGCACATTCTGAGATATGTACCGGCATTTGCTTATTATGTGACGGCAAACGCGGATTTAACTGACATATGACGTATTCTGACGTCTTGTTTGGTAATATATTCCGACATGCTAGTCGTAGTGAAAGCTATGTGGCATATCTACTCAATGACATTCCAGGATGAGATGTATTGTTTGATAATGCGATATGTCCTGTACGTCCTGACGTCGGGATGAGTCAAAACGTATATTATTACCAGGGGGGGAAGAAACATCCATGAAACATCCATTAAACCAGCTATTTTAGGGTACCCTTTGGGTGCCAGGGTTTTGACTCAAAGCCCAGCACCACTTTCCAGGCACAAGATGGAAGACTTGCCGTCGAATCCTTGGCCATGTCACCCTGGCCTATGTCAGGGCATCCCAGTCGTCAGTGGCATCTGCCCCGAGAGCCCCATTTGAAATTTAACGATGGGGAGAGTCAGCATATTTTTGCATAAACCATAACAAACCATAACACATCATAAGATATAAGCATATTGACTAGCATGTTACAATCATATCTGGTTAGTGGTTTGGAACATGTTTATTTCTCCATTCAGTTGGAAATGTCATCATCCCAATTGACGAACTTATATTTTTCAGAGGGGTAGGTATACCACCAACCAGTATAAATATATATATATATATATATAATATTATATAATAGAGATCATAAACCAAATGATTATATCAAGCATGTTGAAATCATATCATAACCATAGGATCTTCACATCCCGAAAAAAACTGATGCCTTGAGGGATGATCGGATGATCGGGATTCAACTGGGTCACCTGCCATGACCTTTCTCGGATACGCTTAGCGGCTTAGCGTATCTTATGAAACCTGCCATCACCTGCCATTACTTGAGCTTTTTGCCAATTTTAGATGAATTAAAGTTTATTTGACCAACAAAAATGGGGAGTACACAATTCCAGATGGGTGTTCCCTTTCGAACCATGGCTTTTGAGATTTGAGAAATGAATCTGTGCAAATCGGACTGGTTGAAACACGAGCTAGCCATGGTTGAACACACGGGTACGACTTGACCATCTTGGGCGGTCAATCGCTTTAGCCATCGCCATCTTGATTGTTTCTGAACATAGAATTTGCAAAAAATCACTGTGTCCTCCCAAAAAAACATCGATGACATGGTGATCTTCAAACACATACTTTGAGAAACAGCCATATTCTGTCCATGTCCAGTTGGGACCTCTTTTCACACATCAAACTGTCAAGATGGGGTTCAAAAGAAATCTGGCAGATGACTAGCCTGTCTGCAGAAATGCTACACGTCGCTGGCACCAAGTTCCGAGCTACTTGGCCGTGCGCAGATGAACCATCAGGGCCGAGGACCCGAATGGTGGGGGTTCAGGCCATAGGTTTGGTATGGCTTGTTTTTTCATGGTTTTTTGACCATGTGATGTGAGAAATTCAATGGAACAACAAATGGAAATTGCTGCCTAAAACAATCTTAAACAATTTTTTTTTCAGTTGTTGATAGTTTTTTGTCAGTCTGCACAGACCAAGCTGGGTCGGACGGTTCTGCCACGCTTGCACAGTTGATCCTATGTTAATGTCAGTTGCTACTTGATGAATCAGTGCCAAGCATTTTTTGATTCTCATGGGTTCTTGGGGTACCCCTCCTTTTTTATTTGAACCAACAAAAATAATCACTGGACAAATCACTCAAAACTCGCTGGAAACATGACTAGTTCCGGGGCCCGGCCCAGCGCAGGTGCCCGTGCCGTGACTGGCACGTGCGCCTGTGACATGAGTTTCTGGTCTCCCGTGGAGGTCGGGACGGGGCCGCATCGCTCATGATGTTTCTGTAAAGAAAGTCAATGACACAAACACGGGAAAAAAACATGACATCACTATTCATATCTATTATTACCCATAGGGGGTATATTGATGGTAAATGTTACCATATATGGCATACATGGATCCTATGGGTTATGATTGATCATTTGATATCACTTGATATCACTTGCAAATGTTCGACCTAATTATAGAATATTATATACCTATAATTACATAATCACATTTACTCACACTTATATCTGTATTCTATGGACTATATGGATTTCAAACATCGGCACATCTGTCGATGAAACGAGCTACCACCATGACATCCTGCCAGCAAATCCACTAGGTCCACAACACGCTTTGCTGTTCGTAGCACTTCTTCACTTTGTTACCCTACTGCTAATCAACATGTTAGAGAATATTGTACATCTAGAAATATATATATATATATTATATTATATTATATATTTTGTATATATATATATAATTATATATATAGATATGGCATACCCATCAAGTGTAGATGATTTCCTCGGGAATCCATAGGTTTTCCATAGCTTTTTCTTTTCTGCGGATGACGAGCCACTGCCACCTCTCCAAAGTCCACGGTGATTGGCCAAATGCTGGGGGCTAGCTGCAGCAAGAAATCCAAGAAATGGAGGTTTCCTAAAGTGGACGTACCCCCAACCTACAGGTTTCAACACTAAAATGGTCTAATGAGTCGACTTGGATGATAACTGGGGTGCAGAAAAAAGGAGGCCCTGGGACATCGTCATGAACGCACCAGGCTCGAGCAGTAGCGGAAACACAACGAGTCTTGGAGGAGAGACCGAGACGTCTCGACGTCTCGACGCAGCAGTTCACCTGTTTTCGCAGCCAACAAGAAGTTCACCACAGTGGTCAGCCTAGTTCGCAGGATGCACTCCATCCATCCATCCATCCATCCATCCATAGAGTTACAACTGGAGCCAGAAAAATCCAGGTCCCAGGAGTCCCAGGTCAGGTGATGTACTCGACCCCAGGAGATCAATCAGCTGACCAGTGAGGACGTCGACCAGATTTCTGAGGCTCGGGTGATTTCTGAGGGTCAAGCCTCGGGAGAGCGACAACGGGAGGGCGACAACGGTAAGAACCATGGGGATTTGGCACATATTTGACATTTGAAAAGAGGTGATATACGTAATAAATTATATGAACATATACTGTACATCAGTAAAAAAAATATATAATTTGATCTAATATTATGTATATTCAAAAGTAATTGTGTGATATTTGGTGTATATATATATAATATATATATATATATAAATAGCTGAGATAGCTCGTAAATGATGGTTTTTAGTTGAGGTGTATACTACCCGTACAGGAAGTTTGCCATAGACTGGATCCCATCGATGACTCCTTTGGTCCGTGTTGTGAGTGGCCCAATTTGCCAAACACCTGAAGTCTGGGCTGGTTTTCGGTACTAGAACCCTTCCAACTGAGTTCATTTTCAGGGGAAAGCCCTGGATTTTGGGGTGACGATCGATTGGCCACAGAAGTTTTTTTCAAGGCTGCCTGGCTCGACAATCCAGGCGGATTTGTTGGATCCGAACCCAGTGGCCCAGCCTGTTGTAAATACAGTCCACGGGGCCAACCTTTAAGGCCTGTCCAGATTTCTCGGAGACGACAGATCCACAGAATTACACAAGAGATATATAGATGTGCACATACCCATATGCTCCATGTATAGAATATTTACCAACATTTGCCCCAAAAATCACCCAAATGTAGGTAAATATACCATACATGGAGCATATGGGATATCACATATCCTCATTTATTGAGGAACAACCTACCGGAGAATATTGCTAGAATTGCGTGGTAAAACTCTCTTTAAGATAGTTAACATAGGATCATAGGGTCATAAATTCATGGGAAGTATACTCTATAGAAATATGATGCAATATACTATTAACAGCTATGTATATATACATATCCTTTTAAAGTGTCGATGTGTTTCGTCTTTATTTATCAACATTATGATTCAACGACCCCACCCAAGGTGACCCCCAATAATAAAAGCTTAAGACTGGCCCTTCATAGTGGTTGTTGGTGGTTCCCCATTGACACCATCCTCAGGTAGCCCTTTCCGCCACACTGTGCGACTCAATCACCTGGGATTCGAGGCGTCAACCGGTTCCAGGACATGAGGGAGTTGGGCGAAGGTTGACTCAAGTTGTCATGTGGTGGTTTCCTATAGGGGTACCCCCAGTTCTCATCCATTTATAGAGGAGATGTTCATGGATTTTCCATGCAATAAACCATCCAGCTATTGTTGTGTCCCCAATTTGAGGAAACCCTCAAAGTTGTTCGTTTTCCCGTAAATGCTCCGTTCAAAGTCTGGTTTTACGGGTGAGTGACTAACAAGACGGTTGATTTTGCCAGGGAAGTTCACGGAAAGACCCACTCTGTGTGATGGATCCACCCTGATAAATCCGGAAATCAAAACTGGACAGGTTCTGTGGTTTATCAAAACATGAGATGGGTGATTGAATTGTTGTTCATTGATGTTCATGCCCCTCCAGACAGAGAGAGTCCCTAGGTGCTCAGCCATCCCAATAGCTGGAAAGTGGGGTAAACACCCCCCATTAAATGACCATGTCAATATATTGTGAGGAAGAACATGAGAATCAAACATCAAAGTTGGGGGTAGCCTGTTTCTAGAGCCTCAGTGCCGCTCTCTTCCATTTCTTGGTTCGCCGCTGCTTAGTGAGGCTTCTGACAGCGACGACTTTGCTGAAAGAAATGGTCAAAGACCCGCAAATTCAGCAGGAGGAGGCCAGTGGAAAGAGATAATGCCATGCTCATGACATTGTGATTTATCATGATTTAACTAGGAAAACTGGTCATGTTTTACGGCGATTTTTCATTGGGATATAGCCAACAGTCTGCTTGGTGGTTCCATTTTTTCAAATGTTCAACTTTATTTGGGATGATGATCACAAGACATATATATATATAATATTTTGATGATGTGTTGAAACCACCAACCAGCCAGCATGAGAGTTGTACCTCGAGTTGTACCTCTTGAACCTTTAAGGTCGCTTCCCCGGGGTCAGGAGGGTTGGGGTTTGCAATGAGAAGTGCCAGAATCTGGAGAAAACCACAATGTTAATATCATGTATATTAATGATTACCATGTTCACTATGTATAACCCTGTATGTCTCGAAAATTATTGTGGTTGTTCATTCTCATCATTTCCCTTCTCTAATTATATGATATTATATGTCATGTATGCATAATTATGCTGCATATGTAGCCACTTTGAACATACATTATTGCACTAGGTTTGCTCCAGCCCAATGTGGTGGTCTTCCCCATGCTTGCTCATGATCTAGCTGGATCTCATGTGATGTCTCACATTGTTTGACTTGAATTGATAGATGATGAGAAACGCTGTGAGCTGCCGAGAAACGGCAGGCGGATCGCTGATGTGACGATAGATCAGCGGGGCCGTGCTAATCTGATATCACGACATGTGTGGTATGAGTCTAGCATGTGCGGCTCGACGAAGCCACTAGTCTGCTTGTCTTGACATGTTTTGACTCTCCTTGCGGAGCATGTTGGGTTTGGATCATTTGGTTGTGGTGGTCATTGAGTCATGTTCTACCGGCTGTGGGAGAAATTGACTGCTCTTTGTCCGTTTTCGTGCATGACATCTCACTGATATTCGCCAGGGTACCAAGCAACTTTTAGACATACAGGCAAGCATACAGTAATACAGACATATATAAATACAGACATACATAAATACTATATAAAATTGTATATAAATAATACAGACATATACATAACATACATAACAATCATAACATCTGCGCATCATTTCTTTCCCTTCAAAATGAGGAGCTTCGGAGCTCGGAGACCTGGGACGGCATTTGCCTCCCGGCAGCGCGGTGACCCGGCGACCCGGCGACCTGGATCCGGACCAAATGGACCAAGCAACCCAGGTCGAATCTCCTGGATCCGGCTGTTTCATATTGAAATCCCATGAAATCCCTAGCAAATGTTAGCACCTGGTGCGGGATTTCACAATGGAGAGACAGGTAGAGATGATAGAGATGTAGAAAATAGGGAAGGAGAATCTGAGAACACAGAATGAGGAAAGTTTCAGGCATCTTGGGGCTTGCAAAAAAGAGAACTGGGAGGCAATCCATAGCATTTTTCAGGTTCAGTTGTCAACCAGCGGTTCTCTTGAATCGGTTCCAGATGCGATGTGGAATTTGGTGATTACCATCCAAAACAATCATCTATGTTGATGTGAGCTACAGGGTACCAGGGTTTTTATCATTTTTCTCCATAGCCACATATCAGCAAAATTAGCATTCCAGAAACATGGGGATGATGATAGCCAAGAAGACCTGACAGGACCAACAAAAGGAGCAGATGTCATGGAACCTCAGTTTTCCATCCAGAATTGATGAGAACTGGTTGAAAACACGCCAGTTCCAACAAGTGAAATGTGTTTCTTCCCTATGACTTTTATTCTATTTTTCACGGCCAAAAAACACCAGCTAACTCTGCAAAGTGTTTCATTTGTTCGATAGAGTCACTCGACACATTGGAAACTCCGTTTTCTTGAACTTCAAAATCCAGGCTCAAAGTAGCCCCTGAAGCCTCGCGACAGTCAAGGCTAAGCAGTGGCACTTTTTCAGCATTTTGACAAGAGGTCTGGGAAAGGTAGAAACCAACTTTGCAACAGTCCTGGGGTCCTGGGGCACCTGGGGCACCAGCAGTGAACTACTCGCCTCTCAGGGTTTGAAACAGGCGGAAAGACCCGGAAAGATGAAGAGACAGTCCTTCCATAAACGATGGATTTCGCCGCCCATGCTCTCCATGTGGCCATGCAAGAACAGATGGCGCAGGAGCGCTGTTGATTCAGTGGCATGCCACGTGGCATTTTGACCCTCGGTGCCGCAGAAGAATAGATGGGAGCCAGTTTCTGAACCCAAAAGATCCACTGGGAGCTCGGAAATCTCGGATCGCAGGAGATCAAGAACCGTGAATATCAAAGCTTGTTGTACAGCACCTCTGGCGAATCTCGGCCGAGAAAAACTTGGGGAAGAGAGTTGCGCGGTTGGATTTTCGCTGTGCTTCGTGTATTCCCCTGTTTTTTTTTGAAATCCAACATAGAACTTCAACAATGGGCATTTCTAGTTGGGAAAAGCATATGTCCAAGCCCCTTCTGACTGGTCAGTGCCATTTTTGACCACCGTCAAAAGTTGGGGATTCCAAAGATCATACTGGGGATGGTCATTAATCCATTGACAATTAAATGAATATTCAGGGATTTATACAAATTCATATGCACAGAATGTTTAGATTCCCATTGTGGGATGGATGACCATAGCCCATATAACTTTTATGCATGATATAAATATATATATATATAATACATAATATACATATATATATATATATACTGTATATATACTGTATATATTAGATTAACATGTTTTTACATGTCCCGACCATGGCACGTGTCAGTTTTCAGGTTGCCGTGGTCCCCGCTTCAGGATCGTTTCCCTTCGGGGCCCAACGACTTCAGGGCGAAGCAGCATTTTCCACAGGAGAGCTGATGTGGGTGCTGCGATATGATACACCCAGCCAGCTAATGATTATATATAAGATATTATAGGATTATATAGGTATTGTGGGTAAACAGTCCCATAAACCATCTCCCAAATCACCATAGATAATCGTAAATAGGTGGTATGGTTACCATTCCCAGTCATGGGTGGTTTATGACATTGTTTTACCCATTACATGAAATACAGGATGGATTTGATGTTGGGTGGATTCAACATGCTTCAACCATTCTTCGTCTTCATCTCAACAAGCGCAGTATGTCTATTACCCATAGGATCCATGGTGCTGCTATATATGGTAACATGGATCCCATCAATATACCCCCTTTATGTTAGCATATATACCAGCACCATGGATCCTATGCGTTATTGTTTGTCCCCAATGACTGTCATATGCCTATTCTAAAGGTGCGGGGACAGAAAACAATAGCAGCAATATTGGGGTTGTCGTCCAAGATCATCAGATGAGCTTCAGCATGCCTTCGACGCTTCGACGTGACTTCCACCGCCACCGTTGTGAAAAACCAGGTGCATTTATTTGACATTTTGAAGCGGAGGTTGTGGAGGTTTTTGAAGAAGTTGCCTGAATTGCATTGGACAGATTTTGGATGCCCTTGAAATGATGCATGTGAAGGAGAGCTAGATCTGGTTACACTTGAAACGGAATCAAAGAGTCTTGAAATTGGCTCTCCTGTGAAGTCAAAGGTTGAAAGCATTTCGTCTGGGAAATGACCTATGTCACCGGTCACCGAGTCTAGGAATCTATGACGGGAGCAGTTTTTTGACCAAGCAGAATCACTGAATCGGCTGACGGACTGGACTCAGGACATCTCAGGACTGACCTCCCGCAGGACTTCCGCTTTCGGAACGCCTTGCGACGGAAAGGGAAGTCCTTGGATCGGAAGGTGACGTTGCCGCCATCGAGGTGGCGAGGGAGATGATCTCAGGTTGGTGGTGCAAGTCCCGTATATACATATATATATATATATATGTAATTATATGTATATATACACAATGTATAATTGTATATATGTATAAATATATATATATATATGTAAATATATACATATTATAAATGTCCAATTTCACGGGAATCAATTAAGGCTATATTACGCATGTTTGACATATGAATGCAAGTATTTACATCAGATTGTACAATTAACATGCACGTACAAGTTCGCATACTTAAGCTTGCTGACTTGCTATGATCCGCAAAATGGACTCCCAGCTTCTTCTGCCTCTATTAAGAGGCCGAGCAGCGCAAGCCGTGTGTCTATGCCGGAGGACAGTGCATGGTGTTGTGTCAAGGTCGAGGTCTTGGTTTGGGTGCAGAAATCCTCAAATCTCTCCCAACTTCCTCCAAGTACCCTCTGGTAAACTAACATAACTATGGAAAATCACCATTTTTTATGGGTAAATCCATTATAAATGGCCATTTTCACTAGCTATGTTAAATTACCAGAGGGTAACAACCCTGGTATTGATTTTCTATGATTTTCTCTAGAGGATGGGGCGGATGGGGCGGGAATCCTCCCAAAACAACCGTCCCGCGGAACGAACAGTTTGGCCATGTTTGGCCCATGGTGTCATAGACCTCCACTTGGAGATGGATGGCTTGGCTGAAGCGACAGGATGTGGGGATTTACAGTGCCCCATTATTCTATCGCCTCATTATCCATCCCTATATCCCTATTCATTCCCATTATTTTAGATATTTCTTAATGTTCTCATTTGTTCTCCATACATATTTGATCATATTTGTTGGTGAAATTCCCCATGCAATTTCTTCATATTTCTTCGACATTCTCCAGCTCGGGGACTTTCCAGGAGCTTCGTAGCACCGCAATGCGGCTGGACTCGCTCCGGCCGCGCTCGCCGTCGCCGCGGCCAAGGGGCGTGCCGTCGCCGCGGCGACGCGCCGCCTATCGCCGGAAGGAGATCAAATACCCCCCATACATTGCCCATATGCTCCATGTGGGGTATATATTATATATATATATATATATTTACCCATTATTTACCTACATTTGGGTGATTTCTAGGGCAATACCTATACATTTGGGTGATTTCTAGGGCAAATGCTGGTAAATATTCCAGCACCATGGTTCGCAAATGGGTTGTGTAACAACATGGGCACCGAAAAATATGAATCGATCCAATTCTGAAGCAGGGTCCAGGCGTCCTTTTTCTTTTTTCCATGGTTTGATCTTGGATAATTAGGGGGAAGGGATTATAATATATATATATTATATATATATATTATATATATTATATATTTTATATATATATATATATATTATTATATATATATATATATTATATTATATATATATACATATTATATATATATTATATATAGGTGAAATGGGGATGCAACAAACCCTAGTCACATGACTGGTGAAATCATGTGAAATCCCGAAACTTGGAGAACTTGAGTGCTCGTGGCATCCATCATCCATTTTCCGAGGCAGTTGTCAGCATTTTTCAGCAATCTACTTGTCAGTTTTCCAGGCATCCCAGTCCTTCAGGATGTTTTCACAGGACCCATCGGGATCCACATCTTTTGAGCAGACTTGGCCACATGCCACACATGGCAACCCAGGGCAGCATGTGGAAATTGAAACGCATGCCGTCGACCTTTCTGGCTATATCTTTCAATACTCACAAGGAGTCAAGACCTCTAAGTAAGAACATCAGCCAATGTACTACAAACCTATCCCATGACGGATCCATGGTGCTGCTATATATGCTAACATGAATGGGGTATATTGATGGGATCCATGATACCATATATACCAGCACCATGGATCCTATGGTATAGGTTTTTCATTAATGAGTAGTACACAGAATCGTACGGTGAACATCCTGAAGAACATCACCAGGCGGGGGCGGGTCAGTTGACCTTGGGTGTTTAGGTCACGGACGTCAGAGCTGCTGCAGGTGGTGGGCGAATATCCCAATGTTCATCCCAATAATTGCTATCTGGATCATGGACTATGTATATATATATATATATATGGGTAATACCTCATCTATAATGGGAGTTTAAAACCTCACTTATTACTACTACTCCAGGAAAACTGGGAAGTAGGTCCAAAGAGTCTAGATCCATTTTATTCAATATTTCCTCTCTTGGCGGGTTGAAACCAGGGTACCGTCGTTTTGACACCAAGCAAAATCATCGTGGTGTCACTTTGGCTACTTTAAAGCTGCCACCAGGTGGCAGCAAGTACTTGAACTGAGGCAAGTGACAAAAGGAATGTTGTGACTTTATCCGCTGGATCATGATGGATCCTTCATAATCCCTCCACACATCTCCACAAGATACCCTCTGGTAATTTACGGTAGCGGAAGTATGGCAAATCACCATTTATACTATAGGAAGATCATCTATAAATGGATAATTTTACACAGCTATATAGCTATGTTATCTTGCCACAGAGTAGAACATGGGAGAACATTAAAATCTGAAAGCACCATTGACATACTCGGGATTGAATAGGCACCGACTGTGCTCTTTTTTTGAGCCCTAAAAACATCTATTTTAACCATTGCGGCAGAGTCACGACAGGGCCACATGTTGTTCTTCCCATTCACCGTCCACTGAAACGGTCGAATGCAGTGAATGCAGTGGCTGATCCGACCCCACGACTTGGTGTTTTGCTACCGACCGCCTCACCAACCTCACCAAGCTCCAGCTCTCTGGGCCTTGCCGGAGCCAAACACTATACGTATACTAGAGATATGCAAGACAACATGCCAGATAACATGTCAGAATAGATGTAAGATAGAATGCCAGATAGAATGTCACACTGTATGTCAGATCAGATGTCAGATATAGAATGTAAGATAAGATGTCCGATAAAATAATATGCCATATGAAATGTCAGGTAGAATGTCAGAATGGCTGTCAGATACCGCCCACCTGCCTCATGACTCAGCTGTTTCACGGCCCAAAACAGTCTTGGACAACTTCTTGGGCGTTTCCGAGGTTCGCCCTTCCGCTGTTGAACAACAGCAACACGCTTTCTCCGTGAATGGAGTGCAAGTTTGAGGGAGGTAAGTTTGATGATTTTATCATCCAGGATCCCTATTTGTTTCCTGCTGCACATGGTGGAAAGCTGGTGGGACTTTGGTGCAATGGTGGGCTTTGCGGGCTTCTTGCTGTTCTGACTTGTCTTCCTTGGTTTCGCCCGAAAATGAAGGATCGCTTGAAAATAAAGCTGTGCTCTTGGTACGCAGTCTTGACTAGCTGTGGCAATGCTTTGGAAGCACTGGCCACATGCGTTCTTTCCGAGAACGAAACTGGGCGTAAAAAAGTTTGGTAAGAAGATCTGGGATCATGACGCACAACTGCCCAATCTTGTGAAATAAGGACTTTAACCACCAACCAGGGGCTATGTATTTCTGTTTGCCATCCGAAGCTGGGATTATCATGGATCAGTCCAGATCATTGATGTCAACGATTGTTTATTATATATATATACATATATATATATATATATAATATATACGTATACATATGTATATATATATATATTGTTAATTATTAAATAGTGTTGGAGTATAAACGAGGCAATTTAGGCCAATGGTGGCCGATTTTGAAGCCAGATTGGTGGTTTATCATGTTTCTCGGTGTTTGACTAGTTTGGCGTGGTGAGATTGGCAATTATGTAAAAATGAAAGCATTGATTATCATTGATGCTCAAAAAATTACTTTACTTCGTGTGATCCCCACCATGACATTTATACATTTTCTTACTGGCAAATCTTCTGGCATTCTATCTGACATATCTTCTGACATTCTATTTGACATTCTATCTGGCATATCTTCTGGCATATGATCTGGCATATCTTCTGGCATATCTTCTGGCATTCTATCTGGCAAATCTTCTGGCATTCTATCTGGCATATCTTCTGGCACTCTATCTGACATATCTTCTGGCATTCTATCTGGCATTCTATCTGGCATATCTTCTGGCATATATTCTGACATATCTTCTGGCTATCTCATATCTTCTGGCATATCTTCTGGTATATCTTCTATTCTATCTGGCATATCTTCTGGCATATTTCTGGCATTTATCTGGCAAATCTTCTATCTATCTGGCATATCTTCTGGTATATCTTCTGGCATATCTTCTGGCATTCTATCTGGCATATCTTCTGGCTATCTGGCAAATCTTCTGGGATTCTATCTGGCATATCTTCTGGCATATCTTCTGGCATATCTTCTGGCATTCTATCTGGCATTCTCTGATATCTATGAGGGCCGGCAGGGAACACTGGGCGCGGATGGTCGCGGTTGAGGTCCGGCAGGGAACACTGGGCGCGGATGGTCGCGGTTGAGGTCCGGCAGGGAACACTGGGCGCGGATGGTCGTGGTTGAGGTCCGGCAGGGAACACTGGGCGTGGATGGTCGTGGTTGAGGTCCGGCAGGGAACACTGGGCGAGGATGGTCGTGGTTGAGGTCCGGCAGGGAACATTGGGCGTGGATGGTCGTAGTTGAGGTCCGGCAGGGAACACTGGGCGTGGATGGTCGTGGTTGAGGTCCGGCAGCGAACACTGTGGATCGCGGGTCGCAGTTGAGCAAGGACGACGAGGACGACGAGGACGACGAGGAGGACGAGGAGGAGGAGGAGAGGAGGAGGAGGAGCAGGAGGAGGAGCAGGAGGAGGAGCAGGAGGAGGAGGAGGAGGCAACTGACATAAAATCTAACAACCCTCACCTGGCAGGTGGGGAAAAATCAAGGACATGCTTTTCAACATAAGCATTTAAATCAGTTATACTGTATAAGTCCAAGGCCGCGTAGGTCCAAGCCGTCCGAGATTGGGCCTTTTCGGCGCCCCAACTCGCCTTCACCAGGTGGATTTACCAACGCTTGCAACAAGGTACCATATACGGGTCCTTCTATTTCCAAATTCTTGACAGGATAAAACCATTACTTCTCAATCTATCTCCTCTCTCGAAGAAGATGTTTATAGAGGAACTATGAAATACTATAGGAAAAGGATGGAAAAAGAACCCCAGAAACCAACCAGGATGGTTTTGCATTGATGTTGATCGCGCGCATGGTCACCATCACATCGTTGGGTCCGCTCCTTGCTTTAGCCAATGGATTGGGGGAGGCGATTTGGCCATCAAAGCGTTGGCAGGATGTGTGGATCGTGAGCATCCTATTCCTACTGGGATCATTGGCAGGATTTCTCACCCTTTCCCTGATGCTTCGCGACTTTGGCGTGCTGGCTTTGGGTTGCACCATGGCCCTTGGATTTTTCTATACCGGTGCTGTATGGTTGCTGACGTTGCTGGCAATAAGGGAACGGCAGCCAATCGCCTACACCGGGGTGATTGCTGTGATCCTTCTGGCCGGGTCCTACATCTTCTTAGGCCTCACGGATCTCACATGTGGTCCTCCTGGACATGTGGACTGCTACGTACACTGTTTCTTGGGCCAAGGCGGAACTCACTACATACTCTGGATGGCGGCAACTCGTTGATGATTTAAGTTCTCCTTTTCTCATGGTTGCTGAGAAAAACACATTTATTATTAAACAATAATAAAGATTAATAAAACAGATTTTTGGCCTTTTTGTTTCACCTAAATCTGCGATTCGCAGGTGGTGCTTGGAGCGAACGGTTTTCTTTGGATGCACTTTTATGACGATCAACCGAGGGGGGCGCAGATCCAATGGCCCAAGATCTTGACGTTTCGAATGTTCCACCCCGCAGCGACCGATGCAGCGACCGTGTCCGTGCCCGAGCCAAGTGCGGCGACCGATGCTTGAAGCAAGTGAGAATTGCTGGGTGCAATTGAGTTGTTTCTCAATGTATTTCATTGGAAAAAACATTTAAATTTTGGTTGGTACAGCCCATTTCTGGGCAGACCACAAGTGTCTTATGGATTCTTATGGATTCTTATGGATGTGAATGCTGCAAGCTTCGTTCTGGGCTTGTCCCTTGGAACTGTGATGATGATCTCTTGAGAGCCCCACGGGATGTTCGATCTATGAACCAAAATTGGGTATCCCCCCATGTATCTCTGTTGCCTATCATATATGTCCTCCTTTTAAAGTGGTAATATGTGGTAATATAATGTCGCGGTATGTGATTTTTTGAGACAGCCGCCACATGATTCATTGAATGATCATGTTCTCAAAAGGGCGACTGGGGCATGCAGAATTGCAGCTCCGTGCGGAACCCTGGCGTGTACAAAGTCCCTGGAGTCACACCTCAAAGGTGAAAATGCGTCAAAATCACAAGCCCCAAGGCCCCCAAGTCCCCAAGACCAGATTTTGGGCAATCAGCCAGCGAAATTTGGTAAGTCTCTTTGGACCTTGGCAATAGCCACCTTGAATGGATCCAATTTTGGTCACCCAGGCTGGAAGGGAAGCCATATGAGGCCCAAATCCAGGGTTGATCATGAGGTTCAATGGTTGTTGTTGCTTCTCAAACAGACAATTTGGGTTATGTCAGTTTTATGTAGTTATATCCCATTCTTGGACTCACCCGTTCAATCTCATTCATCAAAGCGTGTAAAGTGTTGGTGGTTTCGCTGGAATCGTGGTTGGTTCTTATTGGGGTTGTATTTTCCACCGTATAGTGGTTCTTCTTGTAGACTTTCTATTTACCTAGCTGGATGACAACAAAATCACAACAATTACATACAATTACCACCCGAAATAAGGGTATGGCTATGGGCTCACTTAATCTTGTGAAATTAAGCTTGGAAGTTTCAAATGTATAATAATCCATCCTATCGAACCGTCGCTTTGTACCACCAATCAACGTTGAATTTACCAATGTCCTGAAGTGGGGTCGCTCCCCCATTTTCGCATTTTTCTGCAGGTGTATGTCCTAAACCAGGCGAGAGCTGACGATGTCCAGGTTTAGCGAATTGATTTTAGCAAGGTTCCATTAAATACATTTAAGGAACAGGACGTACTTTTCTTATTTTTCCGTATGTTGATATATATATATATATATATTAAATACAATTGAGGCCAGGCTTGATAGGGTAGATGATGGTTTAAGCTATTCTGATTTTCTGTTATTGCATGTTTTTTTGAGCAGCAAGTATCTGGAAGGATGACACTGATGACACCAGCACGGGTTTAGGTGTAAATAGTTTATTCGAGGATGAATTGAGGATGATTGAGGAGGAAATTGCAATGTTTTGATGAGTCTTATCAGAATATACATCTTATGAAACTAGATGTTTACAGTGAATTTGTCAAGAGGATAAAAGTTTGCCATGGAAGCAACAAAAACCTGTTTCGTAATCAACTATATCAAATCATCGAAGGAAATGGGCCATGTTCAAGAACTAGAAGGTATGTATACCATGGTATTTACCATGAATATCCCCATGACCAGAAGGATAACTATATGTTACATGACCAGAAGTTATTTTTACCATTCATATCCCCATGTTGGCCTGGTTCCCCAGGAGGCCCCAACAGCGAGTCTCTGTCCCGGGACAGGGACAGCGGCAGCACCAGGCGAGGTCACGGTCCTTTTCGGTTTTTGGAGGGCACCGAAAAGCCATAGGGCAACTTGGATCCCAACCAGGATCCCAACCACATCAGAGTTTTCAGTGTTTCTGATTTGTGAATGAGCAGAATTGGCCTGGATAGGTCATGGGTTTAGTTGCGTATCCATTTGATGGAGGAGTTGATATTCCGCCGAACATTATGTTTTTCAATTGGCATCTAAAGTTGATCATGGTAACTATAGGGTGTTACCATTTGCAGAAATCCGGCATGGTAATAAAAAACTGCATTTGCAGGAGTCTTAGGATATCTTAGGATCTGGATGTTGAAAATACCTCAGTCTGGTGTTTGGTGGGTACGCCAGTTTGGTTGTAAACTACCCGTTTACTGTAGAGGTATACAGCATCCCCAGAGCAATCCCCATGATTGTTGGTCCCCACATTTTGTTCAAAAAAATGACGACAATATTGTCACAGTAGCAATGGCAAAAATGAGTGTTTTGCATGGAGAGGAGAATGAGGTCAAACGTCGGACGGGATACAACATGATAAAAAGACATGCGCTAGTCATGCCTCAATTATGAACACGTATATATTAATATATATATGTATATATATATAATATATATACACATGATTACACATGTGTATACCTTTAAACACAACAATGTGAATGCACTGTGTATGTGTACATTCCACACAGTGATTGTTGTTTTTTGTTTCTCTATATATATATATATTTATATAACAGGTTGCTAAATTGTCCAACATACGTATAACAGTCAACTGCTTTCAATCAACTGTTAGTAAATCATATGTGTGTGCGAAAACAATTGCGAACAGTCCGTTCAATAATTGGATGATGGGGAAATTTACGGGACTCCCCCTAAAAATATGAGCAAACACATGTTTTTGGATGATCTTTTCCCTTTTACCCATCCATTGAATTCAGAATTCACAGTTCTTTTGGTTTTCAAGTAATCCAATCATCAAACATGTACTATTGGATGATAGAAACCTATCAATAAACTATATAGAAATCCTTCCATATCACAGATGTTGTGGTTATGTGTTTCCCTTAACGTCCAAAGACCTTGGACACACAGAATGGTTACCTCGCTAGGTAGTGGACAGAAAAATCCCATCCCCCTAATATTTAACATCTTACAAATGGTGGTGTCCTAAAATGGTGGTACCCCTAAATCATGCATTTTAGATGGGGATGTTTCCATGAAATGAACCATCGAGCTTGGAGTAGCCCCATTTTAGGAAACCCCCTAATATGGATCCTTCGATGGTCCCAGGCACAAGTGGTTTCACCATGTTTCATCCCCCACTAAGCCATGGTTTGCTGCCTCGGCTCGGCTCAGTAGGAACCTCCCCTACCCCGGCAGTGCTGCGCTGCCGCCTTCTGGGACATGCGGAGAGTGCTGCGGTGGCGGTACCTGGATGGCAGGCGTCCCCGGGCGCGGGGACGACTGTTCTATGATGGCACCAACCGTGTGGATAATAGCCTCTACAATGTGAGGCACCCGTTTGATTGGTGCCAATAACTCCCATTTCACTATGGTTTATGGTACTTAGAGCGAACTAGTTACTGGGGCTTATAAACTAACTTATAACCCGGGGGGGCTCAAATTGTAGTTTATAACCAGGTTAATCATGGTTACCCATGGCTATCCTCCGTCACAGATGGTATAGCAATGGCAATAGGTTTTATTGTTATGATAGTTGAGTTGGGATGTAGCGTCTGTGACTATTGGGTGATATATCTGTACGATATATCCACAAAAAAAAAAATAACTGGGACTGCACCCCCAAAATTTGTTTGCAAACCTCATTTTCCTATTGTTTGATGGCCACTTGGTCTACCCGGTCTACCCTATGAGTTTAAAGACGTTTAACATTAAATTGTTAGGTATATGTGTTGTGTGTTCACATGGAAAACTGGAAAAAAGAACAATCATAGTGGAAAAATGCAACCACCACAACTAATATAATATAGTGCTTCGCAGGGAATGAGGGAATGATCCATAATCACTAGTAATATATAATCATCCCATTCCCCCATTGCCATCCATTCCCTACTAAGCACCAGTAAGACAAAGTGCAAACTAATGTTAAAGACATCATGGACAGTTACCCTATGCCACCAATTGAAAAAGGTTTGTCTGAAAATGCTCGCAAAGCCTGCCAATCACGTTGGGAAAACAATGTTCACAAGGAAAACGGCCATAGATTGGGTTACTGTAAATATACTACTATTGGAAAACCAACCAATCATTCTATACTAGTGGCCGCTAAAGATTCACTAGTACAAACTCCAGAGATCCCACTATAGTAGGCACACAGGTGTAAAATTCATGGTAGATCTCCGCAGAAGTCGACTGCTTGACTGCTGGCTTAGCGTCATCTCTCAGCCAGGATTTTGAAATATCTTTCGAAGATATCTACAGTTATGGCCATTTATTAGTTGTAAGTACTTATAACCCCATTTATAGAATATATAATCCCATTGAAATAACCAGTTATAACTGGTTTTTATGGCCATAACTGTACCCATTTACCAGGCCATCAGGCCATCAAGAAATCATAAGAAATCCACTTCCCAAGGCCACCCCTGGCAGGCCACCTTTGAATCGGAGCTGCGCGGCTATTTGGCGCAACTTCTGGCTCCAGGGCCGCAGCTCCACGTGCGCGCGCGGCTTCGGAACCACCGGGTGCCCTAGACGTGTTTCGACGTGGACGGTTTAGAGTTTAGACCAAAGATGTCCTTTTCCCATTGGTTGGTTGATTAATATTGATTAATAGAGGGGTTTGTTTACCCCTTTAACAACAGGTAAATGATGATAGATGGTATACCAAACCGGCCCCTCTATTTTTACCAAAAGGACATTATTGGTTTAGACCATACTTGGGCCACTTTGCCAACCATCTTGTCCAAGGTGAGTGTTCATGTTTCTATGGCTGCCTTGGAGAAGGATGCGCAGATACTGCAGCAGAGCCTGTGGGATGGTAGCCTCAGGCCATGGATCGCCATGGATCCTGTTCGACCATCCAACTGGTGGCACATCGTAGCGGCCGTGAAATTGCTGAAAATGTGGTTCACTACAGCAGAAACATGATCATGTCATTTCAAGAATCTCCAGAAAATGCGCTTATCGCACATACTGCTATACTGTATATTATATTTATTCGTCATACTACCTTAAACCGCTATTACACCTACAACCAACACATGCCTCCCAAAACTCGAACTTGAAAGAGTTGGTACATGTCTAATTCCAAATGTTTTGTGAGTTCCATTCCAATTTTTTTGGTGCTTCCAACCGGAGAAAACTCCAGGCGCTTGGCCCTGCGAAACCGCACGGGGCTGGAGAGTCCCTGGCCCACCTCACAGGTGGGGATCTCCCCCAGTTGTTGTCATGTAGTAAACCCAATTGGACCCATTTGGGGGGATGATTTCTTCAACGCCAACGCATAAAGAGATGGTGATTTGCTGGGACCATATGGGACTTTTGGGGGGATGAATGGGGGCAATTTGCCAAGCATTGAATTGGTCATTTAGTGGGGATATGTGACCAATCAGATGATAAGCCGCCAGATGCTTTTCGCATCTTTTCACCACACTTGGCTGTGGGTCAAAAGAATATAAAGAAGACATCGCACACTTTGAGGTCCACCGGTTAGAGACGGTGCGTACTAATCCCGGGGAAATCAATGTAAATCATAAAGAGGCCAGCTACTTTTCAAACCTCTGG